AGTACTGTTTTCGTAATCAGTATGCTCACTTAGGCTGGGTTTATACTGATTCCCATGTTCTGGAACTGTCCCCGCACAGTTCCAGCACAGTGCGAGAACTGTGCGGGAACAGTTCCAGAACATGGGAATCAGTATGAACCCAGCCTTACCCCTATGCCAACTTCCAACCCGTAGCTTACAAGGGAAGCGTGTTTAGTCGAAGTGGCCTTTTCAGATGAGACCCATACTGCTCTGAAGAGTATTGCACGGTGATTCCAAATCTGCCTTCCAAATCTGCCAAGCGCCTCTGAACGCGGAGTTATGGCCGTTTTTTGGAACGAAAAATGAATGCAGAATTTGGGTAAGATCGATTATTAAAGGCAGTGGCTCGGCAAATCTCAACATAGTCAAATTTTCGCTTACCTGGGGTTATTCAATACGCTGATTCCGAAAATCCACTTTTGAGGGCTAGAAAATGCCGAAAACGAGCGTTTTTCAATGCCCTTCCCTTTGGAATTGGACGAGTGCTGCAAGGCTGATGACGCCGAATCGTTGCAGGACCCAGTGGTTTAGCATTGCGGCGGGCAGCCCCCAATGATGGGAAGGAAATTGCTAACTTGTCCAGATGCGTGTAAAAATGGCCTGCGCGTGTAAGTTTGAGAGAATTTTCTCGGCAAGGAAGGCATGCTGTGCAACCAGGATTGCACTGTTTTCAGACTTGGGCAATAAGGAGTCTGCCGCGTTAAAATTTTGAGCTGTTGAGTTTTGCCGAGCCACTGCCTTTAAAATCTTTACAGCGCTCAGATAAAGCAATGTTAAGTGTTAGCTATTGGATATACTGAGCCCATTGCATAAAGGGCTCTCATACTTAACACTGAACCATTTGAGCAAATTTGGGCGATTTTGTTCCAGTTTTGCGTTCAATCTCTTGGCTGAAAAACGCCCATAACTCGGCGTCCAGAGGCGCTTGGCAGATTTGGAAGGCAGATTTGAAATCATCGATTAATGCTCTTCAAAGCAGTATGGGTTTCATCGAAAAAGGCCACGATTAGACATGCTTCCCTTGTAAGTATCTAAATAAGTATGCAATCGCGACAACGGGTTCCAAATACTTCCCATGAGAATTCCATATGAGCAGTAGATTGGACATAACCTTGAAGTCACGATTCCCTTCTCTGAATCAAGTCACATTTTGCAGGTTAGCTAAGGATAAGTAAGGCTTTGAGTATTCTTGCGTTTGACCTGGTGGTCCGAGATAGCCATGGTTGTGCGGTGTTTCTCTCAGCTCAATTTTCCCTAACTGTGTAAAGTTTATTGTTGCGCAACTAATGTGTTTTATGTGGTGTTAAACGTGACAACGTTATAGTGAGCTTGCAGCTTGTCCATCAATATCAGCGATTACGCTTAGTTTGTGAGAGCGCCCATTACCTCATTTATCGAGAAGCCTCAGAGGATTCCATGACTCTCTTTGAAACGAACAGGAGCTTTAAAACTTTTCAAACCAGCTGTTTGCTGAAGCGAATCAACTCAGTGCTTTCGGAAGCAAAAAACGCAGCGATCATTTCTCTTTGATTACAGTGCTGGACAAAATTATAGGTACACTCTAAAAAATGCCATAACACACTCTGTTGTCAATGAAATGTTCCAAAATTTGGTCCGTGTGTTTACCAGTCTACTATCAGCCATCAAAATGGGTTTCGTTTTCTGGTTATTCAAGAAAAAATTAAAAATTTTGAAAAAAGCAGGCTTGAAGGCTGGACAAAATTATAAGTCCATCTGGATTTTTCACTGATTGAAGCACTTCTTAGCTTCCGAATTTTTGAAGTTAGGTACACTTTAAAAGTGTTAAACAGTTGCTTTACTCACACTGTGTCATACCTGAAATTCTTCGCAGAATGATGCTGTTCTGAATATTCAAGTGTACATGCAAGAGAAATACAGTCTCTTCTAATTTGGAGTAGGCGAAACTTTCAAAGTGGAGCAGCGCGTCCGCACCGCCACCGGCTTGGCGAGATAGGTTAGAATGAAGAGACGCAGACTGCAAAGCGGCGCGAATCGCTGCGAAGCGGACTCGCGCCAGTCCAATTTCCGCCTAAACTGAGTTGAAACTTACTATGGCGGTGGTGCAGGAGAGACCAAAGGCCTTACCATGTGTATCCAGGGGAAAAGGGGAGGAGCTGGCCGCATGCCAAGAAGGATCTGGCAACCTTCCAAGCTCCGCCCTCTGCTCTGAGTCTGGGTTTTGCCTTTTTTGCTCAGGAATTCCTTGAAGGAAAAGGCTAGTTTAAAAGACCTGAGGTGGAGATACAAGGGAGGGAAAAACAAGTTTGTGACCAATTTTGAAAAACGAATCTTTTTTATGGATTTTTGTAAGAATCTAGCATTCTTTTAAAGATTGGAATTGATGAACAATTTTCAGAGAGGTAAGAGCTTCGACTCGATTTCAAATTTTTCACGAACTCTTATAAATTGCTTGCATTTCATTTTCCTGAGATAATTTTCTCAATCTTTTACGATAGCCACTGCGTTAGTTGCATTTGCCAAGAAAGTCATAGTTCAAGTAAAAACTTTATTCGTTGTTAACTTCAGTAAATATTTTACTCGGGGGGGGGGGGAAGGGGGAGGGAAAGGGTGAGAAAAATTCGCGAGAAAAACATTGAAAAATATTTCAATTAGGTGAACTTGCGAAAGTAGACGTCAAATAATTCATCAAAAATTTTCGAGTTGAATCAGACTCGGGCAAAAAGCTGCAAAAAGCAGGCAAAGTCACCAGAACTTTTCTGTTATAACAGTTAAATTAGTTTTCACTGGTTTTTCCTATTTATATTAGATACTGTCCCACTTCTCCAATCCTATGCCTCGACAACTGCCAGCGGGGTAAAGGTTGAGGTTTGGTTCACACTTAAAATCTGAGCTGTGAAGCTTTATTGAGCCTCCTCTTAGGCATAAGATGTATGCATTTGCATTTTACGTTCTTTTTGGATCTGAGTATACAGGATGTAGTGTTAGTCTCTATGTTAAAGTTATTGTTAAAATCACTTTGAAACTTCAATTTTGGCTTATGTTCTCCTGCTTTGAATCAATTTTCGGTAGCCCACCTTCTGAGCTTTGTATCATCGTCACTTCGATTTTGAACAAAATTCATCAATATATAAATGGTAGCGGTGTTCTTGACTGTTACAAAGATAACCGTTACTCTATTCATTTATTAGGTTTATGACATGATGTTACTTTTATTATCATCCTGGTACCTGAAAACCTGTTTGAGAATCTTTACTGTCCATCCCAAATTCCAAATTCATGGTTACCTCTTAATCCATCAAATTTGATCGATATCTGGTAGTCCATCTACCATTCTTGCTCAACACACAATGGGAGCATCCCGTGGGCGGAGCGATGGGCGGAGCCTCCCCTGCCTTCCACTATCCCCCTTGTCCCCTCGGATACAGGCGGCAAGGGCTTTGTTTCCTCCTGCACCACCTCCCAAAAAGATTGTACATCCCGTGCTTTGACACTCTCCCACCATCCAGCACTTCTTGTGTTATGCTACTTATGCTACGTCCTGACGCGGGGCTGGGGCAATTATATAGTCGTCTTCATTTTGGTAGCCATCTTGTAAACACTTTCAATTTTGCGTGTAGCAGGCTAGTTGCGGTAGAGAACAGCACCCAGATCAAATTGCGAGCATAATTTGAAGTAAGGTTTTTGTGCTCTACCGGTTTACCTCTATTTCGGCCAATACAACAGCAGCGCTCCTGGCGCAATGTTACTTATAACATCGAGTTATCTTCCCCCACTCCCCCCTGTTTTTGCCGCCGGGAATCTTCAACACATTCATCGACCCACTGGTGGGTCTTACGTGTTTTGCCATTTCGGACAATACGATACACCGGTGGGTCATAAAAGTCATGAAGCTCTTCTCAGCCAGTTTACGATGGAATTTTACGGGATTCTGGCACTTGACTGAGGACCTAGGCGAAGCACCAACCACAGTGGTCCAGGCTTGGGATACTGTAATGTTACGGTAGGCATACCGTAGATAGAGGCAAGGCACAGACTTCAGCTGAAATTCTTCGCAGAATGATGCTGTTCTGAATATTCAAGTGTACATATACGAGAAATACAGTCTCTTCCAATTTGGAGTAGGCGAAACTTTCAAAGTGGAGCAACGCTTCCGCAATGCCACCGGCTTAGCAAGATAGGTTAGAATGAAGAGACGCAGACTGCAAAGCGGCGCGAATCGTTGCGAAGCGGACTCGCGCCAGTCCAATTTCCGCCTAAACTGAGTTGAAACTTACTATACGTCCTAAGGCGTGGACTTCTACGATGGTTATCGACAGATTGGCACTTGAACGCCGCAAAGCCGAGCTTTTGATGCTCTAAGAAACTTCAGAAATATGGCCCAGAACTTCCGAAACTGGTTTCAGTCGTGAAACTAACACTTTCAGCTTGAAAATGGTGTAAATGGTGTACTAGCCAATTTTTATCAGGTGCAAAAACAATAGTTTTCATGTATGGTGGATTCAGAGTTTTAGCTAGCCACCTATGTTGTCTGGCTTTCTTGAGAGTTTCCTGTAGCCAGTTAATAAAGTTGTTCTCTGCCTTCCTTAAGGCCTAAGGCTGACCTCAAGCGATTCCTGTCGCAGCACGATTTGACATTGCAGCGACTCTCCATGACTTGTCTAACCGCACCTTGCTTGATCGAGACACGGAGCGTTTGTGAGAACTTACAAAAGCTATGCGCCATGCATTCAAGAACCTCACCCTCTTAAATGATGAAATCGCAGGAGGTATGCCTTAGGCCTCACGGATAATCGGGACTCAAAACCGTTTCCCTGTTTACTTTAGTTGCGACCGCTTTCTCCCTTGCTGGGTGTAAGACATACTCTGACAAGGTCACGGTTTCTTGCGGGCGGCATTGCATCTGCCTTTCAGTCCAGTTAGTTTCTTGTATCACATTGCGAAGGCCACAACTACTTTCATGGTGTTCACAAAGAAATGGCAAGTGATTTTTTTTTTGAGAGTGCTAACAGCTAACAACATTTGATCGAATGTTTCACTGCATTTTTTATTCATGCAGAGGAGCACTCAAAAAGATGTACTTCACAGACAAAAGCGATGCCCGTTCAAGGTAAACGGCGTCAGCCTGGCGCGTGCAGCTTTATATAGGAATTCATCACTGTTTTCAAGCAACATAAGAATGACAAGTGCTCGTCTGAGCTGGAACGAACGCAACGCAGAAGCAAACAATATTCTTGCAGCGCCCAAGGCGCACGACTGTACGATATCCTTCTGCTCCACAAGCTCGCGCCGCTGTTAGCGTTGTGGGCTACGCCTTCATTTGCGACTGAACTCTACATTTTCCCTGTTCCTCTTCCGTCGCATCTACCAACAGAGTATTCTTCTGTTCCTTTAACTGGTAATCTATCGTGCACTTGAGTCCAAAACAAAACCACCTGCTTGACTCGGCGCTAGACTAGTGTCTTCCAACAAAGCAAAGAAATGAGACAGCATGCTGAAAGTCCGACTTTATTGGCGTTGGCGAGATAGGCAGTGATGTACACACTTTGCAGCTTATAGCTTCATTTCGTCTCACATAAAGTGATCTTTTGGTGACTTTACCTCTCGTATGAGGAGAATATGACGTGGAAGTGGTGCTCCAGCCTAGAAAGTTACTCAGTGATGATACTGTTTACATAGATCATGTGCAAAAACCTTGAGTAAATCGGGGACGTCCACGGTCCACAGTTCAAGACCATTCGATTGCAATGCAGTGAACTTCTGAAGTTCATCTAGACAATCTTGATGCAAACTTCAGTGAGAGAGAAGCTAGCACTTCGGGGCTTTTTGAATGCAAGGCATGGTTTTCCTGCTGTATAAAAAGCAGTCCGGTTGCGGTGAAACGCGTCTAAGCCCAAAATTCAAGTTTATGGATGTTTGGTACCCCAACGAATTTCAAACTATAACTGACTCTTTCGTTGTTGTTGAGCGATATTTCCTAATTCTATGCTCGTCTGTCTAACTCTGATGACGGATAAGCTTGGAAAGAACGATATAGATGTGGAATTTGCGACATAAAATCTCAAGCAACAGTTCAGCACATGTTGAAATCTGAAACAACACTTCAGCAAATGTTACCTATCAAAAAGTTAGGAGCAAAATTCCAAATACTCGTCGTCTCTTCAAGCTTACTTGAAATCAAAGTTGAAGAAACATAGCATAGCAGTATGGAACATCTCTCAATAACAACAAGATCTCAACTGCACATTTGAAACCACTGAGATAACATGCAATGACAAAAACAGGGGAACATGTGTAGGTCATTTATAAAATCGTGACGACGGATTCTACTGCGGTCATTGCGCGAGCAGAAGCATAAAACACTCAAACAAAAAGGCATCACCTCGACGCTCAGCTCAGCCACTTCCAGTATCTAGGTACTACCATACGTAAATAGAAAAACCACTATAGCGGAGATGGAAACCGAGAAACTGCCGTTTCTGGAAGGCGCGTGCGTGTCGCACGCGGTCGCGCCATCTTTACGGTTTTTCGAATGTCATATATATAGGCTGCTGCATGACGAAGGAGGCAATACCTTGGGTAGAGGAACGAACTTCGCCAGGAAGCGCCTCCACGGACTACTGATCCTGCAATGACATGCAACAATATAGCAAAAGGACCAGTTGCCGGCGAGGCGAGCTCAAACTGGCGGATCGTTCCCCCACCCCACACTTTGGTCGCGAACGTGACTTTATTAGCTGCAGAGCGCATGAGGCGCGGATTTACAACGGTGAGAATATGCGCGCTTCGCTTCGCAGAAGCAGTATTAGTTCGCTCCCCCTCAACTAATACTGCTTCTGCGCCTTCGTCATACAGTGGCCTTTAGATATGCATTGAGTTGTGAGGGTGTCGGCCTTGCCGCAACCAGCCTGCTCCAGTTCAAATGAGTTTGCCCACCAGGCGCCTAGGGGGGAGAGAACCTCCATACTAACAGACTTCAGCAAATTGTGTTCTGCCGTACAAGTCGTCATCGATAACACTTTATAGGTCTACGAGGGAAATATTTCAGTGGCCATGGCCGTTTGATGTGAGATGCATATCGTACAGCACTTTTCAACACCGATTTCAAAATCGCATCCCATTTTTACAAAACGCTCTTTTGAAAGAATACGGAAGCCTGAAAATTCCGGCGGAGAGGCTGTCGTTACATGCGGCTATGCAAGAAACCTCTCTTGTTTAGGTCAAATATGCCAAAAACATCGCTGTAAGTATCTGCGAACGGTCTTATATGCTACCTGACTCACACACAAAGCGCAAAAGAGTTCGCTAACCACCAGTTTCGAACCTCTCCTGACCTCTCGCCTCCTGTGCCAGCACGCTAACCACTACACCACCCCAACGTACCTAGTACGCGTCCTCGAACTTGAGGAGCGCCCAAAAACGGCTTCCAACTTTTCTCGCTTCCACAACTCCTTTCGGAAGAGCGTTTCGCAGAAACGGAATGCGGTTTTGAAATCAGCGTTCAAAAGTGCTTTAGCCGCTATGCATCTCGTATCAAACGGCCACGCCCACTGAAAGTACTTCCCTTGTAATCAAATAATTCCTTCCTCCCCCGCGCTGCCTAACAAGGAAAGCTCGCGGAAGCAGTCTTTTCGAATGACTTCTATATTACTTTGAAGAGCATTGAATGGCAATCCCAAATCTGCCTCCCTTTCTGACGGAAACCATGTTTTTCAGAAAATGTTATATATGGGTTGTAGGTCTTGAAATGTAATCAGCCCACTTTTTCATTCTTGTTTTACACCTGAAAATGAGCGATGAAAAAAGGAAGGGGCGACTTGTCTGCAGCTTTTTGGCACTGTATATACAAACATCGGTAGCAATTCGTAGAATGTTTTCTGGAGGGGGAAAATAAAAATTTTTTCTTAGTACAGTGTCACGTTCTCCGAAAATTTCTTTAAAATCATCGTACAGAAATTCTCGCAACCATAAACCTCAAAAAAAAAAAGAGAAAAGAGGTGGCATAGCGGCGGTATCCAAGCTCTAGAACAAAGCTATCTTTCGAGACGCTTGAAACATATTTTAATTCACAGTGCCACTTGCACAAATTTATAACCCATGAAGGCTGCTTTCATGAATTTCGCGTCCAATATCGTTCCGCCGCTGACAAATATGCAAGGTGTGCCAAAAATTATATTAGGTTGGAAGGAAAGCTCTCGGACATTCCTTTTCGACAAAGTTTTGTTTCGATGTTAGCACTGATTGAGGCATGCTGCACACCGTTGGATGGAGGAAATCATTCTCTACAAAAGCATGGTAAGCGCAAGCGCATTTTCAATGTTTTGCCTGATTTAGACAAAAACTCTAAAACATAAAATTTTGACTTAACTCAAATCTCCAGCTTCTACAAACGTTATGAAACACCTAGATGCTCCAATTTATAATATACATGCTTACATGCACAGTTTGTATGGGATTTGACTTTAAACAAGAGGAAGAACGATGTGATCGAAAAGTGACAAACTCCGCCTCGTTGTTTCTAAGCCCCTCCCACTTGCTTAGGTATCAGCTACAAGAGAGTACAGCTGCAAATTTTTGCCCATGTACATGCATAAGACTTCGAGAAATAGCAGATTCACTCTAAAAACATTCAAGATTCTTTCTAAGCTATCATACCTACCCCACGGTCTCAATCATTTTTTTTGCCCCGATACCTTTCGCCAATCTTTAGGTACCGTGGCTTCAACAAATGGACCACCGGCCGGTTACTAACTACAGTAGAAACTTCGATGAGAAACTTGCATCATTGAGAATAGATTGGTTCAAAAAAGAAATTCCAAGAGTGAAAATCTTGCTACTAGTAGAATTGAAGCCGTTCGAAAGTCACGCCTGCAGGTTGCTTATGAAATCCAATGGCAGAGACCGCACGCGTCGGGTACGCGTTTTGACAACCAATTTTCTTTGCTTTCTCCTCTTTTCGCAGCTTTGTATGTGTACAGTGACCGCCAAAAAGTTGCGGACAAGTTGCCCTCCTTTTTTCAGCGTTCATTTTCGGTTGGAAAATCAGGATGAAAAGATGATTGGATTGCATGGGGTGATAGAGCTGTTCAAGAGCTACAATCCACTCATTGCGCTTTCTAGAAAACGTGTATTCTGAAAATTTTAAAAATCTTTTTCTAGAAAAGGTCCGAAAATGGCCACGTCACAATGTCGCGGACAATGATTCTTTGAACGCGAAAACCTTTTAGGTCTTTTTTTAGAGCAAAACAGAAGTCTTCCGAACAGGTAAGCATACTATATCGTAGAGCACATCGAGGACAACAATCAGATAGTGGTTACTTCCAAAAAACGCAGTTTGAATTCTGTTTGTTTTTTTAGAAAAAAACAACTTCTATTTTTCTCTTTCAAAGCAAATTTCTTCACATAAAACCTATCCAAGGCATCCCAACAAGGTTGTTCGGATAAAGTAAATGCTCTTCACCATTCTCCATGCATCGGACATGTGCTGGTGAGTTTCTTTGCTGAAAATGGCTCTTAACCGTGCGTGCACATGACCCTACCAGCGCCTCATCACTGACTTGTATCGCTTTGCAGGCTTGTAGCTCAGCCGTCAGGCAATCTGCGAGCCTGTACTTGGGCTCATTCGAAAGGGCGTGAACTTCTCGACAAGGAGGTATGCAAATAAGTGCAGTTTGAGCAGTCCCAGAGATTTGACTGACGGGGTGGAAAAGTGGGCCTTAGAGGTGATTAGAGCGAAGGCTCTTATGAACACCTGAACAGTCTTAGAGCATCAAAATGGATCTATTTAATGAAAATTGACAATTTTGAACTTCCAGGATGAAACTGGTAGAGAAAAGAGCTCTCTTCAACTTTAGCTGAAAAATGCCTAGCTTACAACTGAAGCTGCCCTTTTCCACCTCATCCTCCAAATCTCTGGGATTGCCCAATTTGAACTTATTTGCATGCCATCGTGTCGAGAAAACCATGCCCTTTCGAATGAGCCTAAACACCGGCTCGTAGACTGCCTGACGGCTGAGCTACAAGCCTGCAAAGCGGCGGTACAAGTCAGTGGTGAGGAGCAGGTAGGGTCATGTGCACGCAGTGTCAGGAGTCATTTTTAGCCAAGAAACTCACCAGCACATGTCCGATGCATGGAGAATGGTGAAGAGCATTTACTTCATCCGAACAGCTTTGTCGGGAGGCCATGAATAGGTTTCCGTGTGAAGAAATCTGCTTTGAAAGAGAAAAATAGAAGTCATTTTTTTGAAAAAGCAAAACAAAATTCAAACTTGCGTTTTCTTGGAAGCAACCACTATCTGATTGTTGTCCTCGATGAGCTCTACGATATAGTAGGTTTACCTGTTTGGAAAACTTCTGTTTTGCTTTTAAAAAAAGACCTAAAAGAAATTTTCGCGTTCGAAGAATTATTGTCCGCGACATTGTGACGCGGCCATTTTCGGACTTCTTCTAGAAAAAGGTTCTTAAAATTTTTAGAATACATGTTTTCCAGAAAGCGCAATGTGCGGGTTGTAGCCCCTGAAGAGCTCTATCACCGCATTCAATCCAATCATTTTTTCATCCTGGTTTTCCATCCGAAAATGAACGCTGAAAAAAGGAGCAACTTGTCCGCAACTTTTTGGCGGTCACTGTATGTTAACTGCTAGTCACTTGAATCGACTGAGCTGAGTGCTTAAATGTTTCATTGTTATAAGCTCTTCTAACGCTAGGGTGGGTGGAAAGACCGCAATCGAATCTGACATCACGATTTTATAAACACTCTCTACATTTCTGAAGTTCTTCGTTAAACTGTCTACAACACCTGACTTTTTCAAAAAATTGCTCGCTGGATCAGTGTCTGCAGAAACCTCACCACAAGAGATTTCACGTATAGACAGTCCACGCTGTGCTCGGAGAGTAACAGTGTGACGTCCATCAAAGATAGTCCATGACTAGAAGAGACGCAGAGAAGACAATGGCGAGAGTGTATAGGAAAGAGGAGTGATGCGCAGTACACCCCTGCGCACCCTCCGCACCCTGTGCGGACGGCCTTTTGAGTTGAGCGTGTGATTGAGCGTAATTTGAAAAAAATTCAAATATTCGCTATTCGCTTAAATAAGTGTGCCTTGATGTACAGTAACTAAGAATATTTGGTGCTTCCCTCCACACTGTAAATTTGGGTTGAATCAGCTTTGAAGAATGGTAAAGGATTGGCGAAAGACATCAAAGAAGGAGTGTATATTGATCAGCAGGGGCATCTTTTGACATCCTTTGTAGTATGTATACATCTACAAAAATAAATATGGCACCGTCGGACCCGTTAAAACCTTTTGTTGGTAGGTCTACTTGGCCAGTTTTCACTGTTGAAAAAACTTGAGACGAATCAGCAGATTATCGGAATCACTGAGGAAGCTGGTATTTCATACGCTTGGCTTTGGCTCCCAAATAGGCCCAAGGTGATCCTTCACTAGTCCTCCCATTATTTCTGGACGCACACCAAAGTATGCGAATGCGGTTGCTATACGAATGAATGATGTTGTGACTACGCTATTGTAATGCTCTGCAAACATGGTGAAAGGCGGACCTGAGCGGCAAATAACTTACTGCAGCTGCCCGGTTCTGGTGAAAAATGAGTCGATTGTTCACTAAGATGCAATTCACACCCTCGTCATCCTTAACTGGTATTATTCTGTATCGTAACATAGTTTCGGCTTCAAGAACCTGCAGTATAGATGATAGTGTCCGCAAATCTTTTTTTTTCAATCGGCTCACTTTCAAAATATTTTGAGCTTCTTTACTTGTTCCGATTGCTAGTATACCAGGAGCAACAAGTGAAACATAATACCTCAGACTCTGTGCCTTATCTGACATATGTATCGGTATGACGGCGTGGTCACAAAATACTCTTGCTACAACCTGAATTGAGCTTTAGCAGAATTGACACACCAGATTCAGGCTTTACAGTACTTTGGCTCCGTCAAAATTTGTTCCATGTTTGCGGATCCCCACAAAAATCTCCTGGCCAGTGAAGAAGACGTCTCCTCCCTCTAGGACCACGGCTTTCCCATCAACAAATTCGGGACATTCTTGAATGGTCCGGCAGCACTTTGGTAAGATACGTCGTAACTAGAATTAGTGTATAAACATTGTCGTGACATGAAGGGGAACAGAGGCGCCTCTTGTTGGGAAATGCCAGGTTTTTTCGGTCTACAAAGCAGTGTAGTCCCATAAACGGACACAGCAGCATCACCGACGAATAAACTTGAGACGGAAGATCCATTCGCTGGGCAGAATTCGCTGATCGAAACTCCTAGAAAAGCCAAAGATTCGAGAAGTATCTAACGATTTGTATAATTGTTACCAGCTTCACGTAAGGTTTCGACGAGTCCTTCACTTTGTTTCCTGAGCGCATCTGCTGCAATGGTCTTCTTACTATCCGATTTGATTGTATTAGGGACCCCAACAACCACTGCATGAGAATAACTCATTGTAATCGTTGATGACTGAAATTAGTTATCACCTCAGCATTGTTCGAGTCATTCGCGTTACTCACAATGCTAGCAGAAGAAAGGTCGCGAAAGTCGGAGTGATTGCGAAGATGCGCATTTACAACAATACATGGCTAGGTCGGTCTTGGGAGAGAAAGAGGATATTGTTTCTTGTGGAGTCTAGTGCGGAGGAGATTTTTGAAAGTTACTTATATGACATTTGTAAACAAAGAATACTTCTTGAAACTTTTCAAAAATTGAGTCAAATGATGAAGGATAAAGGATTCGGCGTATTCAATAGCCTCTGCGGGCATGCACCAAAGGCTTTCTACATCATAGTGCTGGCTACTGAACCCGTGGCTTATTACGGTAGCCACGCCCCTTTTTTCCTAAAATTTTGAGGTCATGGGCTCGCAAAAATCCCAAGCATCCCAAAAAATTTTCGGAGTACATCACTACATAGTGCCACGCACCCTCACTCAAAGAATTTTTGTCCGACCCCCTCCCCCCCCCCCCCCAGCCCTCCCACCCTGGGAGACGGTCAAGAGGCGATTTCTTTGAAGGTTTGAAGGTCCAGTTTAACATCCCAATCTACAACTAAGAGAGTCTTTCAAGTGTAAGCATCTCCGTTAGCATCTCCGATGGAATGCCAGAAGATGTGATTCATATGTTTAGGGCGTGACCGACGATGAGAAGTCTCGAGGAGTTGCTCCTTCCCCGACACCGACTGGTCGCCGCTACCATACCCCTCCACGACTCTGGCTGATGCTGCCCCAATCCAGTGCTACTTCCGATCTACCCCTCAACTTCTCCACTGATAACCTCTTGTTGTCGACCGTTCATATACTGTCATCTGTCAACATTGATGTCATAAAGATAAACTACTTAGTACTGATCGGTGTTCTATTCATACCAGTCAGTAGCACGACTTCACTGCCGCTACGCTTACTCAAGGATATCAGACAAAGTGCTCTAGCTTAGTTAGTATTTAAAGCTACTACATACGAAGTTTGATGTTTGGTGAAAAATCAATTGAAATACTTGCGAAACTGCGATTAGTTGCATTTTTGCGAGTTTTTGACCTCTCGCTCATGTTTCAATTTATTTCATATTTGTAAGATAGAGCAACCCACAAGACGACCACACAAATCTTGTTGGAAATCAAAATTGCCCCTGAACCTTCATAAAATACTAAGAATGCGCTAATTGGTGTCCATCCGGCAATAAAAAATCGCGCCTCTTAGGCCCGTATGCACTAACATCCCTACGGCGAGGGGAGCGGCGTTCTCAATGATGAAAAAGCCGCAGCGGCGTCCGCACGCGGCCTTTTCATAACGGGGGACGCCGCTCCCCTCGCCGCAGGGATGTTAGTGCATGCGGACCTTACATACATCCTCCTCCCCTCCTCCCCTCCCGGTAGGATGCCTGGGACAGCCACTAAGGGCCGCATGCACTACCATCCCCGCGGGGAGGGGATCGCAGCTTAAAAGAAAGCTTTATATTTCGAAACTCCAGATACCTGGATTTCACGTTGTGTACCTATCCGTAAGTATTCCTACTACCCTTCACTATGAACATGTTGAACAGGAGCGAGAATCTGTACGAACCGCATTCTCCAGCTTTTGTATGATCCCTGATGATCCCCGGCGCTTTTCTTTAAAGTCATTTTTCTTTCTCCGAAGTTAACAAAAACCTTCCAAAGTTGTACTGAACATCTAACACAACAGTGCTAAGCATGTTGCTGATGAGAACAAATGAGTTTTTGAAAGGTCGAGTTTTTCGGTAAACCTCAACCTTCGACTTGTGGATCATCAAAAATTTCATGACTTCAAAACATCATGTGTTCTTATCAGCAACATGCTTAGCACTGTTGTGTTAGATGTTCAGTACAACTATGGAAGGTTTTCGTTAACTTCGGAGAAAGAAAAATGACTTCAAAGAAACAACATGTTCATAGTGAAGGGTAGTAGGAATACTTACGGATAGGTACACAACGTGAAATTCAGGTATCTAGAGTTTCGAAATATAAAGCTTTCTTTTAAGCTGCGATCCCCTCCCCGCGGGGATGGTAGTGCATGCGACCCTAAGGGCAAGGGCCATTTTCTCGGTCCAGGGGGAACATCACCCAGCCGGAGTGCGCCTGGAGGTCGATGGGGTGATCATGTACCCCACCACACGTATATCCCCCAGGACCCGAATCTGCCGGGACACTGCCTTTAACGCGCTCCATGATGACAGTCAGTCTTTTGGCGTGTTCGCCTTTAGAGAGAAATGGATGCGGCTTATACACCTGAAAATAGGGTAAAAGGAAATTTGGTGTGTACGTGCGCGTAAGGGAATTCGAACAATGGCTGAAAAGTTACCACTTTTGGAAGCTGTGCCCAGCTCTTTTCGAACTGACTGGAACCGTTTTAGTACCATCTAAGCTGGACCGAACCATTTGCTCACACAATTCCGTAATTTTTTCACTCTTCATTTACGCTTATAGGCTGTAAAAACTTTCAGTGGCGCAGTTCATTCCACGGAGGTGTGCGTTGTCAAAGTGCCCTGACTTTCTGATCTTACCATGGAAGGATCCACCTCGCGGCGGTTTTAGACGAAATGCTTGTCATTAGATGCGTCTTAGTGAGCTGTTTCCGACTCTAACTTTCATATCGGCTGCGCGATTTTCTAGAAGAAGTTATGAGCGTCCGAAAATACACTTTTTTACCGCGCCTCCCCCAGAATTGTTCCCTATGTACCCTATTTTCAGGTGTATAAGCCGCACCCTTTTTGCTCTAAACGCGAGCAGACCCAGGCGCGTGCCGCCGCGCATATGTCTCGCGAAGCGGTCGCCTTATCGCGTACTGCTCTCACTTGACGCGCTCCATGATGACAGTCAGTCTTTTGGCGTGTTCGCCTTTAGAGCGAAAAGGGTGCGGCTTATACACCTGAAAATAGGGTACTATCAACGTGGCTGCTTTTAATGATTTTAACAAGTTAACTCCAGCGACTTTAGGGCGCTTATTCGGGGTAGATAGGTTAAAACGATTGAAAGGCAGCCACTTGATGGTAACTATAGGAACAATTTTGGGGGAGCAGGATATTTGCCGGTTTATGTGTGCATACGTCTAGTTACTATAGGGCTCTGCCTGATCCGAGAGTCGGTAAGTCTGCAGCCATCACACGCATTAGTTTCCTCATTATCCCTCTTCTTTCAAAAGCTTTTCTGTTATCAGATGTTAAACCAATTACCCTAATTTCACGCGTATAAGGCGCACCTTTTTCGGTTTTTCAAGCGTGCCGCTCAGCCGGCTCGTTGTATTTCGGAAAACGAGACTTATGCCGCAGGATACCTTAGGCAATATGCAGCACTGTATATAGTTTATTGGTCGCGAAGTCTTTCGGCGTGTCGTGCTGTTTGATTTTAGAAGAAAAATTCCCCGCGTTTTATAAGCGTGAAATTAGGGTACTTGAAACACTTTTGAAAAGTACGGGATTGTAGTGTGGCATCCTGCGTGCACTGGCCGCGAACTCATCAACATTTGCGATCATACAGAGCTCTATACACCCAACACCATGCTAAATGCATTTCCAAGCTGGTTTTTTCAAGCATATTACGCATTAACACCCCAACAACTCCACATTTTTTTAATCACTCATAACATCTTCCAGAGAATCGAGCAGCAGGTAACGAAGATAGGCTCGGTATCAGCTCAACAAGATGAATCTAATGATAGCATTTTGTTCCAGATCGACACGACAACTTGGGATCCTTCCCTTGTTAGCGGCTGAGCGCGGAGAGTGCGCAAGGTGTGCACTGCGTGTCACTCCTCTTCCTTCGTGCACTTTCGCCGCCTGTTTTCTCTGCGTCTCTTTCAGTCATAAAACACCTTCCGTGGACGCAACCGCGTTGCTCTCCGAGCACAGCGCGGACGGCCTATAGAATTTCCCACTCGGTCTCTATATCGCCGCTTCTCAAGCAGAGATTTTGCGAGGCGTTTTCACACTAACTCTCTTCCTTTAATTCTTCTTCAGGGACGTTCCTTCAAACTTCCTCCATATTACTCTTCAAAACCGACCATCCTCCTTGAGCTCATTCTGTAAAAATGAGAAAAATAGCAAACACTTGCACCGCAGCAAGTTCATCCTGCGCTTTGCTCGCATAATTGTTCTATTAGGCGCTATTAAATATGCAAAGGATCCGGATATGGACTAAATCCAATGCCGCTATCGAAATTGCTTATGGAAAGAGTCGAGAACGACTAATCCGACTTTTTTTCGTAACTGTACATATTCCAAGAAAATATGTCGATGAATTTGGGCCCAGTCCGAGTCCAGTTTAGATGCATGACCCCCGCAACTATGAACGTCCCTAGAGCTCGTATTGAAAGTTTCCGTGACGAGGGGAGCGGCGATGTTATCCCGTATGCACTGCATCCCTGCGGCGAGGGGAGCGGGGTCCCCGTTATGAAGGGGCCACGTGCGGATGCCGCTGCGACTTTTACATCATTGGGGAGTCGCTCCCCTCGCCGCAGGGATGTTAGTGACGGGCCTTAGGGCCGCATGCATTAACATCGCCGAGAAGGGGATCGCAGCTTCAGAAGAAAGCTTCATATCCTGAAGCTCCACATATCTGTATTTCACGCTATCTATCTATCCGTAAGTACTCCCACCATCCTTCACTATGAACATCTTGAACGGGAGCCTTAAGCTGTGCAAGCCGCATTTTCCAGCTTTTTGTTCGATCCCCTGATGATTCCTGGCTGCCGACCGTCTTTTCTATAAAGTCATTTTTCTTTTCTCGAAGTCAACAAAAGCATTCCAAAGTTGCGCTGTTTATCTAACGCAGCAGTGCCAATAAGTTTCTGGTAAGAACAAGTGATGTTTCGAATTCTTGAATTTTGCGATGAACCACAAGTCGAAAGTTGGGGTTTATCGAAAAAATCGACATTCCAAAAATTCATTTGTTCTTATCAGCAACCTCGGCACTGTTGGGTTAGATAATCAGTACAGCTTGAAAGGTTTTCGTTAACTTTGAAGGAAGAAAAATGGCTT